ATTTCAGAAACACTAATGGGAACAACCAAGCATGCAGACATCCTCCCCCTACAGCCTTACACAGGGCTGGACCACAAACCAATTGAACTTATTATCAGTTTTGAACAATTTGTGAAAAAAGGATCCAGCTTTCACGAACTGAATAACTCGCTCCTGTTAAGCCAATCCTTCGAAAAGGGTATCCTGGACTACTGGCAGAATAGGAGAGGCAGCTACCTCTCCATCCATGACAAGTGGGTTTGGTTCCAAGACAGATATTCCACACTGGCCCAGACAACAGCCAACATATCAAAGAAATTGTCGAACGACAAGAAACAGCGAAAAATCGCTCTAGAAGCCGCTCTAAGAGTCGCAGAATCCAACTTAGTCGACAATCCATCTTCGCCCTTCTATACAAACATTTTCCATAAAGCAAGAGAGGAACTGGCTGTATGGAGATGGTGGGAGTTAAAGGGTTTACAAATAAGATCGAGAATGAATGAGTATGAGCTCAGCGAGTCAATGTCAAAGAACTTCTTTGCGAGGATTAAAGCAAACACAAGATCTAGCTCAATAGAGGGCCTTAAGACCCTCTCTGAAACATCGGAGACACTAACAGACAGCAAAGGAATGCTAAACATAGCCAAGGAGTTCTATGAAGACCTCTACCAAACAAAGACCCCGACCCCCACTCCCCCCAGTACTAGAGAAGCGCAGACCAGAATGCTCCAATACCTAGATAAAACTATCTCACAAGAACAGGCAGACGCTCTAAACAAGCCCATCACGTTAGAGGAACTGCAAGCGGCAGTCCAGAGTATGAACATTAACAAAACTCCAGGCATTGATGGATTAACAAAAGAATTCTGGGAAAAATTCTGGCCACTTCTTGGGGGTGATCTACTGAACTTCTACAAGGACAGCTGGCTGAAGGGGGGCCTAGGGAACATGTTGAGGAGCAGTGTAGTCACACTTCTATACAAAAAGGGGGACAAAGAAGACGTACGAAACTACAGACCCATTTCTCTACTCACATTGCCGTACAAAATCTTGGCGAAAACCCTGGCCCTTAGGATCCTTGATCTTACAGACAAGTGCTTCCACATAGATCAGACAGGTTTCATACCAGGAAGATACATTCTTGACAATGTACTCACTTTAAACGAAGCAGCCAACAAAGTGAGAGAAAAAAAAATTAATACAACAATAATGTTTTTCGACTTTGAAAAGGCTTATGACCGGTCAACTGGGCCTTCCTAAACTCGAGTATGGAACAAATGGGAGTAGGTCCGATCTTCAGAAAATGGGTACGTATTTTGTACAACGATGCTATTGGCTGTATACAAGTCAATGGTCTGCTATCAGAATGCTACCCAATCTCACGATCAGTCCGTCAGGGCGATCCATTAGCCCCCCCAATCTTCCTCTTTGTTATGGAAGCAATAGCCTCCTTTCTATGGAAAGACCCCTCCATTCACAGACTGCCAGAAATCAACGCAGGATCAGCCCACCATCTAAAGTTCCCAATAGTCATAATGTTCGCAGACGACCTCACGGTTCTTATACGAGCCTCAGGTTCGTCCTTCAGTGCCCTAGTGAGAGCTATGGAAGCCTTCAGACTGGCCTCGGAAATGAAGATTAAGTGGAAAAAAACGATTGGGTGGTGGTTGTCAGAGGAAGAACCCCCACAGCTCCAAGGCCCAGAGGCAACGTTGACCTGGGGGACACCAGAGACACCTACACGCTACCTAGGGATCCTGATGACAAAAGAAGGCTTTGCCCCCCAAATGGCCCAGAATGTGCTTACTAAACAAATCAATAAAATGGGTAGGTGGGGCAACACTTTCACATCTCTGCTGGGACGCGCCTAAGCCCTCAACACCTCTATCTTTTCTATGATGTGGTATATAGCCTCAATCTGGACAGTACCAGACAAGTCAATCAAGGAACTCAATCGGGTAGCAAGGGCCTATCTATGGTCTGGTGACCCCAACAGAGTTAACTGCATCCCTAAGATAGCATGGCATTACATCACGAGGAAACCAAGTAAAGGAGGATTGGGGATCATCGACCCCAAATAAGAAACCAAAGCCCTCCAGGTCAAATGGATCATTAAACTGCTTACAAAACCAGGCACAACTTGGAATAAACTAGCTCTGGATAGCATTAGAGGACTAGCTCCGGTACCGACACCAACAAACATGTCAGGACTATTCTGGATGATGAACAAGGAATGGACACCCAACACAGGACGCAGAAACCGCCGACAAGGAAACCCGGAGAACAGACCCCCCACACCTTACTGGACGTCTCTGCTAAGGATTTGGAGGGAAATCATGCCGAAAAAAGTCGGCACGCCCAAGACGAGAGAAGAGGTACTGAGGCAACCCCTTTTTGGCAACCCCTGGTTGAGAGATGAAAGTGATCACCCTTTCTCTCTCAAGCCCAGAGGCATACGTTGGCTATCCTGGATAAAGCACAGAGTCTGGAAAATTGAACATTTTGGAATGAAGAGAAAAGGGATTGGGTAACAGACCTTGACCTTGCCGCCCTCCTCAAGGGCTGTCACCAACGGGATAGGAACTTACAGGCCATCATCAGCGACATTCCAGAAGGATGGAAAGATCTTTTAAAGAGTCCACCAACATGGAAAACGGGTGAATGGGAGATCCGGCTACAGGAAACGCCCCCTTCAAGGGCCTATCAGTTCTCACACAAACAACAGGGCTCAAACACTGTCGCAACTTTTACCTCCTATCCAATATCGCTGTCGGTGCATGGATCGGCCTCCATCATAGAAAAGGATGTAGTAAGAACAAATCTAGACATCTTTCTGCTCAGGAAGGTGAGAGTGATGGGCTCCTGGCCCAAATCAATCTTAAGGATGGACACGGCGATCCAAGATTTGGAATTCGACCCAGCAGAATGGGCTTGGACATCAGGAGGGAACAAATACATGAAAACAGAAATCCAGGACTACTCGGTGAAGATGGGGTACAGATTATTCATCAAGACCAAAGATCCAGAACCAATAATCAAAAGCAGATGGGCAAAAGTAATCGGTCAAGAGGCAGTCCAAATCACACAGATTCCATGGAAGAAATATAAATCAATCAAGCCGGTCAAAATCAGGAGTCTCCAATGGGTGATAGCCTATGTAGCACTTCCGGTCAACCAGTGGCTCCACATTCGCAGAAGGAAAAACGATCCCAACAGTTCCGACCACAATATGCACAGAAAATGAACCGGAAGACTTACTTCACTGCCTAATCCAATTCAAAGAAGCAACAGAATATTGGGCGAGGGCGTCGGATCTCTAGGAGTCCCTGTTTGCTGAGTCCTTCCCTGAACACTCCATCCAACTTCTACTGTGGACCAACATCTCGACTGACCTCAACAGCTCAGAGAAGACATGGTACGGTATGATCAGGAAAGTCACGCTATGGTCTATATGGAAGGAGAGATTCAGCAGAACGATTGAGGGTTTATCAACGCCAAGAGAAAATGTCTGGCCAGAAACCAGGACACTGATTCAGGCGGAGATCCTATGCAGGTGGCACAAAACAAAACAGACACTGCCCGAGGACGATGAGAGGCAGAATACTATCCTCTCCAAGTTTGTCAAAGTTTGGCTGGTGGGAGGAAAAGTGGCTGAACTAAGAGATGGCAGCATATGCTGGAAAGACTGGCACAACTCGGAAATCAGGTGGAGAAGCCCACTGCAACAAGCTGCGGACTGCCCGCAGGACCCACAGGCAACATAAGGACATATACATGAGTCACAAGACACCAATGGTGGTTGAAATAGCAGCTTACGGGCTGCTCTCCACTATCCTTGTTTTTTAAGCTTATTTGGCAGATTCCCACAGAGGGATCTGAGAGGGATTGCAGGGGAAGGCAAGCTGACAGTCAATCCTCCTAATGGGAGCAATCAATGCTGGTCAGGGTTCCTTCGGCCAAACGGAAGGAAGCGTGGGTGGGTTCATGTTGTAATCATTTTTGACTTGCCGGGGGAATAGTAACCGGACTGACGCTCCCCAGAATGGATATGGAGCCAGGACCATAAGGGACTGTTTAAAAAATAATAATAATAATAATAATAATAATATATATAATAATAAAATTATAAATAAATAAATAAATAAATAAATAAAATAGTGCAGTGGAGCAAGACCTGATGTTGCGTCGAGACTTGAGTATATTGTCATATCTTGCTCTTTTTTTAAGTTTTTTCGTGTCGTGAGTTATTTCCCGATGCTTTGTGAAACGATTGGTCATGTGCGCATTGTCATTTGCTGTATGCTGGATTAATTACTTTTGCCGTCGTTGTAACACCCTCAGTTTTTTGGCTTATCACATCATAGGGCGTCGCTGCACGGCACAGTAAACAAAAAACGAAACGAGTGCATCTTCCCACAGAAAATGAACAGGTTCATCGCTTTGCTATAAATAGTAACAGGTGTATTTTGAGCAGATGCACTCATTTCGTTTTAGTTGCGTGTGCCGTGTGGCGAGGCCCATAGAGACATGTCCAATCTGCGATTAAAAAAAAAAAGCAAAGAGATCTCAGCAGTCATCTTCACGCTAACCTACCTTCTTCTCCAGAATACAATGTACGGTCATTATAGCTGTACTGAGACTGAAAGATACCCCAAATACATCTATGATGACCATCGGTCACCATCCCCAAATACATCTATAATGACCACTGTACTGAGACCGAAAGATACCCCAAATACATCTATAATGACCATCGGTCACCATCCCCAAATACATCTATAATGACCATCCCCAAATGCATCTCTAATGACCATACATTGTATTCGGGGGAAGAAGGTAGTAGCTTTCACTGACACACTGTTTTCCCCTTTTGTTATGCACCCTGTTTGTTTGATTTGTTTTTTCCCCCTTCTTTTTTTTTTTGCAGATCACACCCACTTATACACTGAACGTCGTGTTGCTTTGCACATCAATGATGATGACGATGATGATGATGGCAGAATCGGCGCATGGCAGAGGAGTTGCGGCTGCACGTAGAAGAGACGGAGGACTTGCAGAGAGAAAAGGATCAGTTACACGAGCAAAAGAAACAACTTGAGAGAGAAGTGGAGCTCAACAAGCAGGCAGAGAGGGAGCATGCGCGGCGCGGGTCAAAGCAAGCAAAACTTATAAAGGAGAGCCATGCAAAGGTCGGTACTAGGTAGACTTTATTTATTTATTTATTGCTTGTAAATAAATTAGTAGAACTTTTGTTTACCAGGATAGTGTTCCCATCGGATGAACACTCTGAACCAGATGTTGGAATGGACCTGTAGGATGAACACCCTCAGGTTTCCTTTCGGATCCTCCCCCGTACTACTTGCATTGGCGTGGTCCACGGTTAATTTTTTCCCTCTTGCCTCATCCTCATTCCCAATGGGCCTGGTTCCATATCCATTCTGGCGCGCAACAGTCCGGTTCTAGGGTAGCCTTTATTTAAGTTACTTATAGAACACCAACCAACCGAGCCATGGAATGCGCTATGCTGCGGTCGTAGGACCGGCAGCACAATAATATCACAACAATAGCACCATAATAGCACACAATAGCATCTCCCAATTGATCAAAGGAACCGCGTTGTTGCGCGTCCTGAGCTCCTCCTAATGCCATTGCACTGCCGTCTTCCCCCAGATGCAACACACCCTCCTGAGTCCACCTGACCGTAAATATAACCATTCATGGCCAGGCTGTGCTTGTGTTTCGTGGAAGATGGTAGGTCCCAATTCCTCTTCTGTATGGAACCCACCCACCCACCCACCCACCGACCCACCGACCCACCCACCCACCCAACCATCGAGCTTGCTGCTTTTCAGTGAGCACAAGAACACAATGCCATACTATGTCTGAAGCGTGTCTGGAGGATTGACGGTAGCACGTCTGGTGCCGGTCATGCAGGCTCATTGTTGAATCCCTTGTCATGTTGTGACATTTGCGGTTGATGCATGCGTGTGTGTGTCTGCGTGTGGTAAGTATGTAGCAAACGCCTGCGATCAAGCTCCACATCAGACAACCTCGTTCAAAACAACTCATCACAAGGTCAGAAGCAGCAGAACATGAGCCCGGTATTCAAACGAGGATGCCATCGTACGAACATACCAAACCCTCATGGCGAGAGCTCAACCTGATGGTTGAGAGAGAAAGGGTGAGTCGTGAGGAAAGACAGGCCAACAACAGTCAGGCAAAGTGCGGAAGACAACAAAGCAATGGCAGCAAGCAGCAGCAAGGGACACATGTTGGAGGGCACGGTGAAAGGCGGATGGGCTGGCAAGCAGCACAGGGCAGCGAAGGGAAAACCAGCAGCCAAAAATCAGCAGACTTGAGTTTTTTTTTAGGACAGCGGCCCAGAATTGGCCTTTTCTGTTCCTAGATATTTCTCGATCCCTGCGCCTAAGCTGGGTAGCGATCCCAGTACTGATAATAAAATTGATAGTTTTTTGCGAAAACAAATCAGCAGTGGAGGGATTTCCAGCCTGCCCCCTTGGTATTGATAATATATTTTTTATTTTTGCAAAAAAAATTTAAAAAAATCAGCAGACCAAAAAAAGTACAGGTACCAAACCAAACAGAGACCGAGGAAAAGAAAATTGATGATGATAGATTGTTTTGTCGGAGTTGCACCAACTCATCAGGAGGCTGAACCCTCGACAATCTCCAGAATCCCCGTATTGATGCTTTGGGTCATGAACCCTTTGACGCTTGTCGAAAGCGGACTGGCCCCAAGCGGAGCACAGCAGGAGGCAACAACTCAGCGAAGAACCAGCCAAAGCTGCTGGAGCAACCCCAAGTGCACAACACCAAAACTAACTCCATGAACGGCAGCGCAAGCAGACGAGCAGTACAGTTTAACAGTGCAGCGAAGCACAAGGCAATACCACCAAAGAAGCCAAATTACACGGCACACAAGCAAAGAGCACGGAAGGCAAGGCATGTGAATGGCAACACTAACATAGCAGCCACACCATGCAGTAAATAGAGCAGGTGCAAGCCTGCAACGAGCAACAAGTGAAGCAAGCGGGACGGCCAGCAAAGCAGCAGCGAAGCGCAGACAAGGAAGTCTACACATGTCATGCAACATGGAGCAAAGCGGCACAACATCAAAGCGGCACATCATGAGTGAACCCCACAGACTGTTGGTTCCCACCACCTGCCGAGCCAGGGAGTCACTCTGACGGCCACCTGTCGTCACCCATAGACCATATGCACCACACAGACATCACGGCCATAATAGTGTTACAGGGACTCCAATCACCCCAGTACTGACTGTTTAGCACTCCTTAAAGGTACTCACCCAAGCACACAAAGTACTCAGGAAACAAACATGGACAGAAGGAAAAAAAACAAGTGAAGAAGGACACACAAGAGGCAAGAAGAAAGACATGCAAGGAAAGAGAAAGACGCATAAAAGTTGATAAATTGATTGTGTGTGTGTGTGTGTGTGTGAGGGGGGGAGGGGGGGGGATGGGGAGGGTAGGCTATTAGCCGATCATGGACTAGTGTTTTTGTGCACCTGCAGAGTGTAAGTATATCATCGCACAACATACCTGTGGAATGGAGGGTCTGCTTTAGATGACCATAGAAAAAATCCAAGGGTCATCCATGAACTAGCTCTTCACAAAAAAAGACCTAAGTAATGCATAAATTGAGAAATGGTCCAATAGTGCGCCTTACTATGCTAGTACTGGCTTCGGTATCGAAGAAGGGTTCGCCGTCGTACCATTCTGTTGGAATTGGAACAATACAGAGAAGATTAAACCAGCTGTATGTGTCCCAGCCATTTTTCGAAGACGCGGGTGTGCACGTGCCGCGTTCTTCGGGGGCCGGCCTACTGGGGCAAAATGGCCGGCGGCGCCAGCCAAAAGAAGGCCCGCGCGGGTTCATTTTGGTGCAATGACTTGCTGATTTTGCTGCTGTGTTCTGCCTGCGAGGCTGTAAACTACAGTCTAGGGACAATTTTGTAATTTTGTTGTGACTGAGTACTAGCCGGTAACTGGCCTGTAGAAAATTTGTTAGGGACATTTCTGCAAATTTCTAAACTAACAGGTCTAACCTAACTGCTATCCACAGACCCGGGCTACCACCAGGAATAACGGACAGGCCCATGGGCTTAACCAAATAGTCGGCCCTATAGCCTATAGCCGGGATAGGTAGAGGCCAAACAGGCCTGAGTGAAATGGTACCGGTCAGTCCAGCCTGTTACCAGTCTAGGTCTAGGCTAGATCTATTAATAGGAGGGAGTCGGTCTAGGGTGGACTTTTGGCGTTTCATTTAGCGAAAGACGCGTGAGCTGAGCCAATGGAGGAAGGAAGGTGACGATTGACGGCAGGCGGCATCCTGAGTCCCTCCTCAGAGGATAGCCATAGCCAGACCTTCGGGGCCCGCCATGGCTGGGGCGCCCTCCCGCACTCACCCCTGAGGGTGAGTGCGATTGTCTGGGCTATCGCGAGGCTCTTCATAGCTGTTTGTGGGTGAACCGCTGCTGCTACATCTTCTTCTGAGTCAGCGGTGTGGCAGAGACAGTGGTGCTGCAGCCATAGCTGCAGCTGTTGACGTCAGAGACTCTTCATCTCCATCAGGAACTTGGCGCTGGTCTGCTTCTTCATCATACTGGATGGCGCTTGAGCGCTACTAACAGAGTGTAGGAGTTGGGGGTGTGGTGTGAATTTAAGTGGTGGGGGGGAACCTTCGGAGAGAACTCTGTTACGTTCAGTGTTGATATTGGCTCAAACTTGGTTACGCTCTGCTGTGATCCTTGTGGTGTCTTCTTATGACTGGTTGTTGGGAGTCTCGTCGGAGAGAGAAACACTGTGTGTTGTCTCCACACTCTGTGCGTATTTGCTTTCCGCTGCTTACTCTGTCTGTGTGCAGTGTGTAACTCTGCCTCCTCTCCCCTTCTTCTTATGCATGTATGGGCATGTATGAGATTGTCTGTGAGTGTTGAATGAAATCGACAGAACCAAATTCATAACATCGGCGTGCAGGGCATTTCCCGGCTCGGCAAGGGAAGGGTCAAAATTGGTGGTGGTTTAAGCAGGGCCTTCTCATTGTGCAAGCAGCTATTTGCAATTCTACATAACTTTTTCGATTCCAGGTTTTTTGTTAATTTTGTGCTGGGGCTGCCCAGGACCTTTCCTGGGACCTTGCCCTGCAGACCGTTTGGGCAGCCTGAGGCACCCCGAGGCACCCTGGGCACGGCGCGGCCTGTTTCCAAGAAAGACTGCTGAATTGAAAGAAAACTTACAATTTTGATCGGCCTGTTACCTAGAAAAACTGCTGAAGTGCAGAATTAAAGCGCATGCAAGGTGGGAAAAAAACACCATTAACAGTTCTTTTTTTTATTTTCTTTGTTTCTTTAATTCTTTTTTTTTCAGTTTTAATCCACAATCCAATCTGCTTATGTTGGGAAGAGGAAGACAGAAGTACACCACCACTCCCATCATCCCCACCACTCCCACGAGTCCCACCAGTCCCACCGCCAGCACAAGGTTATGCATGGGGACTTAGTCTGATGAGGTGGTTGTCTTGGATGGGTGGGCGATCATGTGGGTGCAGGTGAGGGCCCTTGAACGAAGCCTAGGAACACTGATACGGGATTATTCGCTTGAAAGGAAATTGTTTGAGGAGAAGCATGACCGAGAAATGGCGGACATCCATCTGGAGTTTAGCGCACTGCAACGTCTTCTTGATCTGAAAACCCAGGAATTAAAACGCATACGGAGGCTCGCCTATGAGGTGCTGCGCCAGCGAGGAGAGGTCGAGCACTTCCTGATCCAGTCCATCGACTATGTCCGGGCACAGATATTGAAAGAGAAGCAGCAGAAACCCCTGAGGAAGACAAAGGCAGGAGCGCGTGCGAAAGGCGGCAGCAGCAAGGCGGTCAGCAGTGTCATATCGTCAATAGTCCGAGATGTGTGCGATGATCAGGCTGGCATCGACTTGTCCCCGACAGCATCGGCGGTCGCAGACCTCCAGCAGCAAAGCAATGTGACCCTGAGTGCAAGCCTAGGTCCATCGGAGGACCACCTCCCCGAGATTCGGCAAAGCTCATCGTCGGGACAGTCGCCATCTCAACGGCAATCTCAGCCAACGAGCGACACAGCAACGTTGACCTGCAGAGAGAGCGGAAGTGATCTTGATAAGAGCCGTCCAGCAGAGCAAAATGCTGATGACGGGAAGGGGAGAGTCCCTCCGCGTGCAAGGATGGACATTTCTGAACTGACTTGGTCAGAGAAGGAAAAGGTGCTGCGACTTCTGTTTGCCAAAATCAACCGCGCACATCAGCCTTCCTACTTCTTATCACCCTCACAGGAGGAAATCATAGACGCAAACCACCACGAGGAGGTGCAGCCGCTCCCACACGGGTCATCGAGTGACGCAGGCAGAAGCAAGCCTGTTTAGCCAGCGAGCAAGCACTCATTCTCCGATGTGAACACTGCACGCCTGACTGGCTGGCCCGTGTAGTGAAGACTGCTTAGCAAGCACCTGTAATCTTACTGACGTCACTTCCCTGGGGGTCCTACAACCCCAAGGCTGCTGCTCAAGACAGGGGATGCCTGCCAAGCAAGCCTGTTTTAGCAAGCAAGCAAACAAGCATGCATGCTTCGACGCCACCAATGCTTGCCTGACGTGTGGGCCTGTGTAGCGAAGACTGTTTAGCGAGCATTATTTTCCTGTAGAGCTTCCTCTACAGTATTGTCACTGCGGTAGAGTTTCACCACCAAGTTCGGGATGGATTGGCGTGGTTCCACTACGCCTAAGATACCAGGATATCAAAAGATGGCCTCTTATTATTTTTCTTCTTTTGATTCTTCTAAAAAGGATAATGACGATGCCAGGTAAGGAGTACGAACACTAGCACCGAATTTCATTTTCAGCCGTTCGTCCTACAGCCCCAAGGCTGCTGCTCAAGATAGGGGATGCCTGCCCACTTGTGTTTTTTGGTACCTTGTGCTGCACCTGCCTTAGCTTGATGTACACTCCATCAGAAGAAACGACCTTTGTATAAGTCCGAACACGACCCTTCCTCAAGCCCGCATGCAGAAAAGATTGTATCTTAACGGTTATTGTATTGTTACACCCAAGGAGACTAACTGGACGCCTATGCATTCATCCATCCCGGTGCTCGGCATAACATTGTCATCATTGTGTTGAATAACGCTCGGTGGACGAGTGGATCCCGTCTTCCTGCTTGCTGATTCTTTACTCAGTGATCTGCACTCGTAATGGGTTGATGCCCAGATTCCCAGTTTCTCAGATAGATTCTCAGATTGTCTTTTTTTTTGTTTTTTTAAGCTGTCTTCTCCTTATCGGGGGACAGCTGTATATATCTTTTTCTCTCATTTTTTGACACTTCAGACCATTGGGACACTGGACACGGGACACTGGACATTACTAGTGAAACGTGGTATGCCCCACATGGGCCCCTTGGGCCCGTAGTAGGTCAGAGGACTAGTCACAGGTTAGGGTCGTTAGTTCTCCTTTCCTTGCCAACCTTGCCAAGAGCGCCACACTACAGTCGCCAACGTTGCCAAGTAGGGCGCCATACTGTAGCTGCTAACGTATCAATTTTGCCAAAAGCACCATTTGCCAACTTCCAGTTTGGGCACCAGACTTCCCATTTTCAGTGTGGCCGCGGTCTTCTGCCAATTTTCGGTTTTGGCGCCAGACTTCCATCGCAGCCTGGGCGCCAGTCTCCTGCCTCCAGTCGGAGGCTCACTTCCTTGGCAACGCAGCAGCAGGCCCAGCAGTATATATAGCTGGGCCAACCTCATTTGTAGAGAGATAGTTGGAGGTGACATTCTTCACGCTGCTGAGCAGCGCTGCTCCAGAGACACACGGTTGGAGGTGGAGGTAGAGTAGTCGACGCGGGCGCAGTAGCAGTAGACTTCAGCGCTGGGCGCTCTCCACGTGACGACAGCAGCTTCGGCCTTGGGCAGCAGCATACTGCAGCGGGTTGTAGAGGAGTAGAGGATGAGGTGGAGGCCAGGGGGCTTACCTGTCGACTTACCTGTGACGCCATAGCTTCAGCTGCATCTTCAGCACGTCTGTACCTCCATCAAGACACCACCTTTCTGCAGGTCAGTACCTGGTTACATCAGAGAGAGAGAGAGAGAGAGAGAGAGAGAGAGAGAGAGAGAGAGAGAGAGAGAGAGAGAGAGAGAGAGAGAGAGAGA